GTCCGCCCTGGCTCTTGAAGTCATCACCGAGGGCACCGCTGCCGGTGCAGATGAAACCGAGGCCTCCCCAGCCAACAAAGATGCTTTCCGGTCTGCCCTGGCTCTTGAAGTCATCACGGAGGGCACCGCTGCCGGTGGAGATGAAACCGAGGCCTTCCCAGCCAATGAAGATACTGCCAAGCCTGCCCCAGCGAACGTGGAGGCCAGTGAGGCAGATCCTGGCACTGCCGAAGCTCGTAGGGCTGCTCCTGAACCCTATGATGCTGCCAGGGCTGCCCCTGCCCCTCAGGAGATCTCCAAGTTCTTCCCTGCCACTCAGGAAGATGAAAATGCTCCGTCCTCTGTGGGCCTAGGTCAGGCAAGACCCTCAGCGGCCCCTGGGGGCCCCACTCCTGCCCAGATGGGCAGTGCTTCCAGGGCGGGCCCAAGAGGTCCTGGCTGTGAGCCAGAGGGCCTCGCCCAGGCAGGAGACCAGGAGGCTGGGGAGCCCCCCAAGGAGGGGCTCGAGCCCATCCCAGAAGAGTCGGAAAACGAGGATGGCGCTGGGGAGATGAGCCCCCCCAAGTTGTCCTCAGGCAAATAGGCTCAGAAGGCCCAGGGACCCCCTCTCCTCTCAGGCAGCAGAGTTCTGGAGGCAGAGGGAGGCCATGCCAGGGCAACAGCCTCGCTTCACATGGGGAGCAGGGACGAGGGAACAACCCACTCAGCCCAAACAAATTCCCAGGACCCCACCTCCTCAAGGCACCCTAGCCAGCACCATTAGCCCTTCCAAATAACCAAGATGGCCATGCCTGACACCAAATGGGGCAGGGAGAGCTGCCTCCCCACCCAGGGCAGCTCCACACCCAGCCCCAGCCCCATTCCATGCCAACTCAGGCAGCCAAGTCCCTGGGCACTCCACCACCCCTAAGGGGAGCTGCCTCCCCCACCATACCCGGCCCCAGCCCCAGCCCCAATCCCAGTCCATGCCAACTCAGCAGCCAAGCCCCCAGGCACTCCACTACTTCTAAGGGGATCTGAACACCACCATCAGCCCTTCCAAGTGACCAAGATGACCATACTTGACACCAAGTGGGGCAGGGAGAGGTGCCCTCCACCCATGGCAGCACCACACCCAGCCCCAGCCCCAATCCATGCCAACTCAGGCAGCCAGTCTGGGAAACATCCCTGAGTGGCTGGCCCTAGCCTAGGGGAGGGGCACCTGAAGCCGTCTGCCACCCACACTGTACTGGGAGATGTTAGGGGCCATTTCAGAGGTGCCAGCCTCTTGGGTCTCCCGAGAGGGAGACACTCATTTACTTCCCCTGGGGCACGTTGCTCCATGTTCTGGGAAGCCCGCTTGGGTCTCTGTGGGGCCCTTAGTGACCCACGTGTCAAGTTACTCCCCCACCCCACTAGCGACCATTCCTGTGCAGAGCCTTGAGGTGTGCAGGAACCCGCCGTGGGTGGTGTCCTGGCCTACCGGGGCCGCCACCTCTCAGCCCGGGTGCGTGCCATGAGCTTCAGCGGGAAGCAAGGCTCTGCTCGCTCTCTTCCAGTGTTGTGAGCTCAACCTCTGCTTTCTCGGGGTACATTTAGGCCAACCGCTGCTTGTTCTTGCGGAGACGTGTGTGTTTTCTTATCTGAGCAGCTGCCCTCCCCGCCCCCCCGCCCCCCGGAAATCCCGAGCCCAGTTCCGGGAGACGGCGGGAAGGATGCCCGAGGGCACGGCTGGTGTTCACCCCGTGACCTCAGGGAGGAAGAACCGGACCAAGGATGGAGGTGGCCAGCGGGAGTCTCCACGGGAACTGTGCTCTGATGTGCCACCCTGTTGTTCCTCGCGACTCCGTTTCCTTGGCTTGGCCCAGGGTCCCATGCTGCGTTTTCCAGCGTCCTGGGACTGTCCTGTGCAGGCCATAGGGCAGGACCAGGCCCCGGCATGTCGGCCAGAGGGGAGGGTGCCCTGGAGTGAGGGGACATGACCAGCGTCCACCGTCCTGGCCAGAGGTTGATCGTGGGGCCCTCAGGAAGGGAGGCTGAGGCAGGAGGGCCACGGTGTCGGGGGAAGCAGAGGCACCTCGTTTGGGACCCCAAGGGGAGGGGGGCCGTGACCTATGGTCTCTAGTGGCCGTTGGACGTTCCTGTCTCTGTTGTCATTCCCTCTCTCCGATGGTTTCAGTAAATGTTTCTCTTCAATAAATTTCATTGCATGTTTCAGCTGCGTCTCGCCTCTGCTGTGGGCAATCGACGGAAGGGTCTGCTGGGGTTGGAGGAGGGAGCCAGAGAAAAGATTTTTGTCCAGTACCCGTGGGAGACTTCTCCATTGAGAGGTTATGTGAGGCACTTTGATTGGAAGACTAGGATATGATCAGGACCTTTCTTCTATTTCATAGGTGAATTGTAAAATTTTGGGGTTCCATTGGTCCTCATCTTGGGATGGTCCTGTCCTCTTTCCCTTTTGAAATTGAGTGGGAATAATCATGGTTTTCTCCTTTACTAAGCTAAAGGGGCCACTGACACCCAGTTCCTGGGATTGTAGATTGCTTAAGGTGTGCAGTGAATGGAGTGGGGCCATGAGGGCCGTCATGCCTCCAACCACCATAGCATCCTCATTGAGAAGGTCAGTATTGAAAAGTGATAGGGTTTTTGAAGGACTGCAAATGTGTTTTAACTTGAGTTATCCTAAATGTGAAAGTCTCACCATGGAACAATATTAACAACACTTACTGAAAAAATCTCGACACTTGGGTTTCTGGGCGAATGGGCACATCTTCCTACCACCTCCATTTGCAAACAGACTTGCTGTCAGGGAAAAGAAAAAGAGCAGGCTACCGAGATGCGCAATGAAGGAGGACCCACAACGGCTGGGGGAGGGGAGGGGTTGCTCTCTGAAGGGGTCATGTTTAGGGATGGAGGGGTAGTTGGGTTTCACACTAAGGGCAGTGGGAAGCTGTTGGACAATTTGGGTGGTCCCAATGGACACTGCTCATTTCTTCTGTCCTAGGAAGTTGCCACTTGATGAGGCTGAGCTCTGCTCACATGAGAGGAGCAGAAAATGCCCGGTTGGCACTTTTCCAACCTTCCCTGAAGCTAGGACTGGGCCCATGACCAGGACCCGTGGGTGAGATGAATCTGGGGCCAGAGATGGGAAGAAGCCGGGGCCACAGAGATCGCACTCGGGTGTGCCGGTGACAGCAAGAGCATCGAGACTTGTTTCCTGAGGAGCAGCGGCCGCTGTGGCTTTCATGGCAGCACCCGTGTCCCATATCACTGCTGCGAGTCACAGTGTCTGTGCCCAGTTGTGGGAGGGAGCCATAGGAGTGCTTGGCACCTGCCCAGCACAGCAGCGTGATTCAGACCCTTGTTCCTCTCTGCAAAGCCTCCAAGCCTGGCTCTCCGGCCCTCCCCAAATACCCACGAGACACCTGCCATTCTTCAGCTAATTTTCTTTGTGCTTCGATCAGCTGCAGTGAGGTGTGATCGTTAAAGACTCGATGTGGTACAGGAGCCGAATGACACCCGCTGAAAGAGCACCCGTCCCCCCCACGGGGGAGGATATTGCTACTGCAGCTCCTGCTGACTGGCTGGGAGTTGGGAAGGCCATGTCTAATCCCTCCAGGGCAGGTGGGGGGAAATCAGGCCAGGGGAGCTTAAGGTTTTGGCCCCGGGGTATGGGGCAGTGTGGGTGGGCCTTTGCCTCTTGTATCTTGGAACTGGGTGCTACAGCCGAAGTCCGAGGGGGAGTCAGTCTGGTGGAGATAGAGGAGCCCCCAGTCCGGGGTCAGCAGCAGGGCACAGGCCTGAGAACCCCTCCCAGGCCCAAGTGAAGTTTGCCTGTGAATTGGAGGAAGAACACACTGGTTCACTCCAGCCAGTTGAGCGGGCTGAGCAGACTGCTGGGGGAGCCATCCCCTGTCCCTAGTTCCCCGGAGCTTCTGGTGCTTTACTCGTGTCTCAGATGGGGTGGTCAGAGACATCCTCACAGGCAGGCCTCCATAACACTGTTCACATTTCCCTCTCGGTCTCCTTCCTGTGCCCTCTGCCTGGCCCACAGTGCGAGTCCACATCCGTCTAGCCCCTTCCTGTCCTTGCCTGTACCCTGGGGCAGCTGGTAGAGCCTCGAGGAGTGGAGAGCCGCTCCACCGCACCAGCCACACGGTTTCCAATGGGTGGGGCCGGATCCATGGCTGATGGCTAAGGAGTGGAAGCTGAGAGAGAGGACTGCCCTGCCTGAAGCCCAGTGCAGCTGTAGCTGATACCCACACCTGGCTCCATGCCTATCCCGGTCCCAGCCCATCTCCTGTCTGTAGAGGGGGTGACAGTATTCAGCAAAAGGCCACTAGGACCGCAGTATGGAGTGCCCTGAACGATGAAAAAGAGAGAAGCCTGCTGGCTGCTTGCGGGGGGGGGGGCAGTTTTTGCCTGCCCCTTGGAGGGGACTCAGGAGCTGGCCTTGAGCAGCTCCCCCACAGGGGCTTCGTGTGGAGGCCTGAGTCTTGCTCTGCAAACACATTCTGATGGCCTCACTAGGCTTCGGGGGACAAGTCCACTGGGGCAGGGCTCCGGAGACTCTTCTAGAAGCCAGGTCCCCAGGGAGCCAACTTACTTCTTCTGGTTAAGTGGGGATCTGGGCTCAGGGTGGCCTCGAGGGAGAGCTTGGTGAGCCTGTGTCCCAGTGACCACCTTCCTGGCCCCAGAGCTCGATCTTTTCCAAGGTTTAGGGCTGGAGAGGCACTGCAAGCCCGTTCCCGTGAGGACCCGCTTCCGTCATTGTTGCGTTCAGTTGCGGCTCTCGCCATCTGGTGCGTTCCAGATGTGTTGGGATCCTGGTGGACTTGGGGAGCTGGCCAAGAGGGCTGCATCAGGGACTCATACTTGAGCCGGCTCCAGCCCTGCTGCAGGGGTGGTGCTTCCTGGCCGTGCTCTCCACGTGGCTGGGCCCCCGGGGCAGTTTCCCCTCGGTGATCCTCTCTCCCAGCCTTGCCCACCAGCACCCACAGAGACAAGTGCCCACAAGGCTGAGGGGGGCCCACGGAGCCAAAGACGTGTGTGCTTCTGAAACACAAAGTGGATGTCCCCCTACCATATAGATGGGTGCTGGAGAGGGGTGGAGGAAGCAGGGGGGCACCCCCAGATGTGGGCCAAGCTGCAACTGGTTCTTCCAGAACTCCCTGCCTTTTATGGTCCCGAATTAGGATTGGCCACAGGAGAGATTTGCACGAAAACTGGAAGGGAGAAATGAAGCAAGGGTCATTTACAAATATGCTCAGAACGTCAGTGTTACACAGCGTGGTTGACCTGATGCTGCCACCAAATCGCCTCCTACCACTTCTCCGAGAGCTGGGCCAGGCACTCACCTCCTGTAGGTCTTCTGCCTAGTCCGGGTGTGAAGTGGTGGGCCACAGATGTGGCTTCCGCTTTGTTCTCACACCACCCCTCCGCTTCTCACCATCTCCGCTTCCCTCTTGCCAGCTCTGCTGAAATCAGGCCCCAAAGGAGCAGTTCCCCTAACTGAGAGGGGTGTAATCCTCATGGTACATCATCTGTACCCCTTAGGAAGTGAGTTCTGATTTCGAAGGAACCTTAACCGGCAGGCACACCACAGCCTGGGCTCACACCGGGCCCTCGTCCACCCTGCCCACAGAGCTCTCCCTGCCCGGGGCTGCCCCCAGTCCACGGCTGCTGGCTCCTCATTGCTCCTTGCTCCAGTCTGTCCTCCTGGGGTGTCTGCAAGCTGCTGGCAGCCAGGGCCCACCGTGATGCCTTACGCTCCCTATTGCTGTTGCCTTTCGGGGATTACTTCAGGCCATTCTCTTTAACTTTTTCCCAAGTGAGGGAGAAGTTCCATAATCTCATGCCCTGCTGGGTTATGATTTAAGAACAACTCAGACTTGCGACTGCCCAAGAAGCCTTATCTTGTCCATCAAAGGGGCCAGAGCCAGTCCAGAACTCCCTAGTGACTAGCTCAGCCAGAGGGCGGGTGGAGCTGGGGTGCTCTGTGTTGATGCTGAAATCTCAGCTGCCTATAAAAGAGACCGACTTAAGAAAGGAAATTCCTTCAAGGCCTTGGGCTCTTTTCCTCTGTAGTCATACAGAAAAACGATGGGCTGGCTTTGCTTCAAAGACAGCTTCAAAGAGAAAGACAGCATTGGGAACTCCAACAACCCCTAGCCACAAATTAGGACACTCTCCAGCCAAACACTGCTAATGTCTGGACAGGGGTGGGGAGCCCGCTGGGTCAGTGATGGCTCCTTGGGAATGGAACAAGAATCAGACTGCTCCAAAGTCAAGGATCACAGTCTGGAAAGTCATAGACAAACAGAAAACAAATCTCTGGTTAGACTAATGAAACTTAGGGACAGGCCTCAGGAGCAGTGGAACATCACTGTGCAGACCCAGTCAGATAATGTGGAAGCCAGAGACAATGTGGACACGTTGGCAGAATCAAACACATTCCCAACGCATCATGGGTCCTATACATAAACTGGCAACAGCAACAGTTACACAGATAATAGGAGGAAAGAAACGGAAGCAAACAGCAGACGAAAGCACATCACGAGGGAAAATTACACAAAAACTACAGGGAGACTCCAGACAAAAAAAAACGACAAAACAAAAAACAACCAACCAACCAACCAAACAAACAAAAACAAAGCCAAAAACCCTCCACTGATGCAAAGCAATTTCAGAAAACATGATTTCTCAAAAGAAAAGAGAATTTAAAGAAGAGATGATGAGAAAACAGAAGGAAATGAAAGAAAGGCAGCAGAACTCAGAAAAGAATTGGGAGAGAGAAATACTAGTATTACTGAGATGAAAGCCACACTAAGAGCAATTCACACTTTGAGTAAACATGATCAAGGAGACCACATGCATCATGGCCGCCTGGGGACATCTTTGTAAGGCTTGTACAAAATGCGAGAGAGCAGAGGGTTGGAGAGAAGGTAGAAAAGGAAATTATACATGTGTATACAAAATCGGTATTCCTGAAAGAGAGAACAAGAGAAGAAAAAGTTCTATCTAACTTGCCTGTCAAGTCAAAAAGCAGAAAGTCAAAATGGCCACTGGACGATAAAGATAAATTTAAACAAAGATCATAGAAGTGGAAGAACAAACACTGAATCCGTGTACATGCAGAATTAATATTACACAAGTGCGAGATCATGCAGTCACACCTGTCCTGCTTTGGGGAACAATGCAAATCTTAGAAACCTTGA